CTTTTTGAGCTGTTTTTTACCCTCTTGATATAATTTCCTTTTAGCACCGGGAGGATAGCAGTGTTATACCTTTGATTATAAATTTATAAAAGAAAGAAACTTTTCTTTTCTATTCTATTCTTTTTCCTATTAAATGATGACTTCTGGGCCGGCTTGCTAGAAGAAGCGTCTCAGTTGAGACTGCTCAAATAATTAGCGCTGCCAAGGCTCGGGCGCTCGAGCGTCTGAGACTCGGCTTAAGCTCGAGCGCTAGCCTTGACTGCGCTTTCTTTGAGCAGTCGCAACTGAGACTCTGCTTCGAGCAAGCCGGCCCAGTTGTTAATGTTGCCGATAAAAAACGGGAACACTGACGACACTTTTTAAACCCGTGAACATCGGCTGCAGTGATGAACGCACGTCAGTTCAAGGGCGTATCTTCGTCGTTGAAGAGACGTATTCTGATTCAAGGCAAAGGCACGTTCTTGAAGCAATGGTCTGTCTGCATGTCGCATGAGACAAAAAAAAAAAAACGCCTGTCTCCCCTTTTTGTTAATTTATTGTAACCGACGGAACCTTGGACCTGCCGGATTTTCGACATACAGTTTACGTTCTTAAAAAAAGAAGCTATTTTCCTAGGGCAGAATGAAAATACTGCGGAGAATAGCTAATTCCTTTTTCGGAAAGTGACTTTCACGCGGCAACCGAGAGAGAAGTGGGAAAATGTACGTGGTGAAGAACAGCCGCTTAAATCTCCAGAAAAAAATAAGTCGCGTACCCACTCAAGTTTTGATAAGAAAGCTATTTGCTATATCTCAGTAACGAACATTTAGGTAAAAAAAAATTGAACGGGGCAGTAATTTTATTTCTGATGATTCGAGAGCGGTGCCAAAACTATTTCAAAAGCGATAGTAAATTATGTAAAAAGTATTGCAATACTCAAAAAATTAGTAAAGGGAAATTCGATGAAACGGCGTCAAGCGATTCGATGAAACGGGATTCGATGAAATGTCCACTTATTCGATGAAACGGCGTTTGATGAAATGGTGTTCAACAAAATGTCCGGTACCCACGATACAAAGTTTGGCAGGGGGAAAATCAATGTTAGAAAAAGAGTAAAGTTTTGATATTTTTCCTTATAACATAACAACTGAAGCTGTAACACGATACAAATATATTGGCCTTGACTTTATTAATAACTTATCATAAAAACCTCATATAAGCTACAACCGTGCAAAAAAAAACAAAAAAACTAACCGACTTTCATAAATTTAAGGGGTCACCTTTATAAAGCCGCACAAAAAACTAAACTCATCGCATACAATATTTTTATTCGTCCTCTTCTCGAATGCGTGTAACTTTACTGGAACCCCGATCAGATCTATCTAGAAGAAAAAAAAAACAAAAAAAAAAACAAAAAAAAACGAAGCCGTAAAATACTGGTCATCCGCTTCCTGTTACAAGAATCGCAATTTTAGAAGCTGAGCTATACCTTTTTTTTAGACACCAAAAGAGAATATTACGTTATACACACCTACACTAATTGCATTACTATTTTCGATGAAAAAAATGCGTTCACCGACTTTCAATATCTTTCTCGCACAAATAAGTCAATAAAAAACTAGCTGGTCACAACAAGTACTAATATTTATCTGAATGGCAATAATCTACCCGAACGCACTGCTTGCACCCTAGAAGTGGATATTTTCAGATTTGGCATTTCCGCCTGCGTTTCAAATAATCCAGTGTTCATGTTATGGAGTCTTAATTAAGCCCCTCCCTTTTTTAGGGCTTTTATGTAAAGTCCTAAGGGGGAATTTATAAATGTGAAAACGAAGGAATGAATAATGAATGACGAATCCCGGACAAAAGCTCACCGGACAAAAGCTCACCGGACAGAAGCTCACCGGACAAAAGTTCACCGAACAAAAGCTCACCCATTTTTTCACAGACCCGGACAAAAGCTCACCCATATTTTCACAGACCCGGACAAGAGCTCACCACGAGAAGATTTTATGTTGGTCTTAACACGAGTGCGGACAACTTAGGTGCATGCGTGCGACAAAAAAAAAGCCAACGATAAATTAAATCTGACAGGCGCATGGTTTGTTGATTTTAGTACAAACAAGTTTATTTATTGATTGGTTAGAGGCGAATGCAGTCCCCCACTAGCTCCAGCAGTCTTGGTAGATCTCGATGTACATGCAAGCCCTCGCAAATATTTCTAAGACGATTCTGAAGGTGCAGAGTAATTTTTCGCACCCGCTTTACGGTGGGCTCACCTCTCCGGGCTTTTGCCAATGCCGTGGCAACGAGCGCCTGATTCTGCTGTAGGCATTCAATCAGCCTCAAGACGCTTGGATGGGCGTGGCCGACGAGCTTCTGGAACCCGGTACTCTATCTTTTGCAGGTGTTGCTCATCCGGTCTTTATCTTGAAGAGTGGTGTCGTACATATTCCACCGTACCGGGGGAAACTCCGGTCGCCGTCGGCGCAGAGTCAGGCGAAGGGAAGAATTCGCTTTGGGTGCCGCCGCAGGTGGAACAGAAGCATAACGGAAGCGGCCGTTGAAATACGTGCAATCAAAATAGTCCAGCAGGTCACCGGTAGACTTTTCCCTGGTGGTTAGTTCTTGTGGAACAAGCTGTGGTGGAAGGAAATTGGTCATCTGTCTTGTACTTTTCCAAAAGGCCAAACTCCCGTTCTTTCAAAGTATTTAAAAAAAATTCTCAACTCAATGGTGGATGAGGTACAAGTTCTCCTAAAAATGGTCCAATGTCCATTGCGTCAGCACTTTATTTCAGCCCGTGTTTCGCCCGGGTAGGAAAAAAAAAAAGAAATCGAGGTGAGCTTTTGCCCGGGTCTGTCAAAAAACGGGTGAGCTTTTGTCCGGGTCTGTCAAAAAACGGGTGAGCTTTTGTCCGGTGAGCTTTTGTCCGGTGAGCTTCTGTCCGGTGAGCTTTTGTCCGGTGAGCTTTTGTCCGGTTACCATGAATGACACCCTTACGTAGATAAAAGCACCCAGCACGTTGCGGCACAAGTGCACTTCGATGGCTTTTGTTTTTTTTAGTAACAAGTTATGAAGTCACACTAGTCGATTAAATTATTGGATCCCATTAACGACAACGTGTAAATTTATTTTTAAAACGTGAAATGTTAATCTGTGAATCCTTCTTATGGCTTGAAAAGCAAACAAAATACACAAAACTTTTATTTATTTATTTATTTGGAAATTTATTTTCCTACACTCCACACCAATCTTAAATTAATATTTTAAAATAAAGGCAATATATACACAACAGCATGTCACTAAGGCGGGGATATGAAATCGCCGCTCAGTAAATGTTTCACTCGGAGCATGGCAGTCGGGATGACATTTCACAACAATACGTAGTACATTTAATCAGATGCCATTTGGTTGAAATCAATTTAAATTTTGCCCTTTCCAAGAAATGCAAAGTGCCTTGTCTTTTTATAAAGAATTTTACACAAACAGAACATAAACTGCTACATCAGGATGTTCGCATATTCTCACAACGACGACTCCGGATTGTGTGACACCGTGCAGCTGCATTGCACCACACGGGCAAATATTTGACGCTTCGCGAAAACAAAACAAAACAAAAATAGGTGACATGCATGACTCCAAAAAGGAACTACTTTGGGGAGAAAACAAACGAATACCAGGAAGTCTTCCAAATAAAATAAATACATAACGAAAAAATGACCAGGCGATACCGGATTATGGAAACCCAGCTAATCCCCATAGCCCTTTTTTTTTAGCAGGAATTTCTAAGCTAGGAATGCATTGCGTCAAAGGGCCAGCTGCTTCCACATGCAAGGCTTCTTTCCCGAAGCATCCGCTGTAGGAGTGGCTCGGGGTACAGAGAACATGCTCAAATGGGCTCAGCACTTCAACAGAGCTCCTCGAGGTTCTTTTGTGAAGACCGTGCATAATAGCGAGCTGCGTTTCCTGCCAGGATCTGGATACTGTTGCTTCTTCTCGAGTAAGTGGGTCACCGTATTGCCCAGTGGACATAACAGAGAGCGAGCAATAAAGAATGAAAGAAGGGATTACCGAGAAGGGAAATCCCTAAGTAAAAACGAAAAAAAAAAACAACAAAAAAACAGACTTTAAGATTGCTCCGTTCATCCCTAAGCTGAGACAGCAGTGGGAGCTCCGTACCCGCCGGACCAATCAGCCGCATCCCTCTTATCACATGACCCGGCTCTCCGCGCCTGGGTGTGGCCGGGAGCGTGATGACGTGACAAAAAAAGAGGCGTATGACTGGTCCAACCAGGACGTAGCTTCCACCGTAGTCTTAACTTAGGGGTGAACGGAGTATAGAGGAGGTGCCAACTGCTCGCATTGTTGGCATATCGGGACCAATCTGGGTCTATACAAAAACCGTACGAGCAAGCGATTGGTCCGCTCTAGACACGTGATTTCAGCGCGTCTGTTGCTTTTAGAGGGGAAAGGATGAGAGCACCACGACACTTCGCAGTTTTCTCGAATTCAGATTCGATCGTCTCAAGTCAGTCTCTGGCGAGCCATCACCCAAGCAGGTTGGCACTTCCTCGAGACTCTTCTTTAGTCGTACTTGACTGCCAACACTCGAGCACTTGTGTTTTTCTTTTTAAAACTGTCTATCAAACTTTAACAACTTGTTCGAATTGCTTGCCGGCTTTCCATGACTTATATTTTCTTTCTACCTTTTTTTTCCCCACAGAAAATGCAGTCCCTTCTGATCCTCATCGTCGCTCTCGCGTCGGCGTCGGCAACGAGTAAGTTCGCTGAAAATATTTTTTTTGTGTCCGTCCGTATGTCGTGTACTTTGGCAAACTTTCAAAGCGACGAACCTGCATGTGCTGGAGAGTGATCTGTACTCTGTTAGAACCGAAGCTGTGCGGTGTTAGCGTATGCTCATTGAACCATACGCCACTCGAGGCAGGCTTCTCCCTTGTAGGATTGTCGCATCGGTCATACAAAAACTGTCCGTTAATGTTATGTAACTGTCTACAGACATGTTATGTAGGATATATATGTACGTATATAGTCCTTTCGGGTTGCACGGAGTTATAACAGCGATCTTGTCCCGAGTGTGAGCGATGTCTTTCTCTTGGCAGACCATCCCCCGAAACCGTCCACCACCGGCGCCGCGGAGGTACCTTCCATCATCCAGCAGGTCGCGACGGGCCCCGTGGGCGGTGGCCTGGTACCGGACTGGGCGCGCCCGTCTGCCCTGCTCCAGAGCATCGTGGACCGCCTCCGTGGCTCCAGCCTGCCTTGCGAGTCTCCGACTGGGCAAGAGGGAGCCTGCATGCTCCACTTCAACTGCGCCAGCGTGTCCGGAGTCACGGTGCCGTCTCCAGACTGCCCGCAGAGCGCCGTGTGCTGCAGACGTGAGTCCCCCACCATCTTGCTCATCTCGCTCTCCGATAGAAATACCATGTCGTGCGCGCGTTGCGCTTGTACGTCCTTCTATATATATATATATATATATATTTAATTACCTATCTTTTCATTATATTTAGTTACTTTCATTTTTACGCGCCGTCGTTTTGCCAATCTCAGCATTTCCAGTTCAAAGGAACGCCTCGCTGCTTGCACGTCTGCTCACTGCAGCACGTTTTGTTGGCTTTGGAAGCCGGTGAAACAGTTGTGAGTTGCGTATAGGAGCGAACGCAAGCGCTGTGTGTTTGCGTTAGTGAGTGCGCGGAGCCCAAAATTGCGGACTTGGATTGGCGCATGGCGATGAGGCGCGCGCAGAACGTGGGGCACGCAACTCTAACGCAAACACGGCGCTTTCCTTTGCTTCTACATTCCCATACCGGCTGTAGCACTACGTTGGGGCTCTCAAGAGTGATGTTTGCGTTCGGAAATGACATTTCGCACGCCATGATCGCGCGCAGTTCCGCCATGCCCGCTAAACAGGAGAATCGGGGGACCCTCACTAGAACGCTTCCCGTTTCCGCCGCGGGAGGGCGAGCAACGAGCTGGAGACGCGAACAGCACAAGGGCGTTCCGCGACGCCATTTTGTTGGCCGTCGTTCGCAGCGCATGCTCGAAACGATGCCCGAGTACAGCTTTTTCGGGCGTTTCAGACGAAGCGAACGCGGCTCGTGCACAGCTATGCTCGAAGCTCGCGAGTGCAGGGTACACTTCACTGCGTACGAGGATGCACGTTCAACGTCCATTCCACTCAACCAGAATCGCAGTTCTTGGAAGACGATAAATAAAAACTAGTTCTGAGCATGCGCTGTGAAGCAAGGTCCAACAATATGGCGTCCCGTGAATACCCCCTATGCAGTCAAAGCCTAGTAACGTGGGCGCGCCGCACACGCACGTTTGCGCATTTTGAGCGCTCATCAAAGCTGTGACGCACACTCTTCGCTTCTAAAATAGTTGTACTGTAGTTAAAGGGGTGAATTTTGAGATTGTCTTTTTATGGCGTGAACTAAATCTACGCGCGCTAAGCATCCTATAAATCCCTAAATGAGTCACGCGTGGCCTTTTTCGGCCATGAGAACACTGCCAAACATGCCAAACACGGAGAAAAAGGGTCGTGTTGCGCTGTTTGGTCGCGTTAAGGGAGTCAAAGCCCACGTACGATTGTAATCTGTAGTATTATATTATGCCTAGGGTGCGCACATTTAGTCCAGGCTGATGAGCTTGTTTTATAACTGCTTACTACCCTGTTGTAAGATGAATTCGATCCGTGACTCCCAGTTCCGGAGGAGGCAGCCACCACGGTGTCGTGCGGCGGAACCATCACGGGCAACAACACCAACTTCCGGAACCCTGACTTCCCGTCTGAGTTCCGTCGCGAGGGCATGTGCAGCGCCGAGGTGACCTTCGGCCGGGAGGTGTGCCAGCTTCGTCTCGAGTTCCTCCACTTCAGCATCGCCGGGCCCAGGGCTAGCGGGCCCAGGGTCGGGCTCTGCGACGACGACGTCTTCGCCGTAGCTACGGGTATCGGGAACTTGCCCTACCCGGCTCTCTGCGGCTACAATGGCGGACAGCACAGTGAGTGACTTCTCTAAAATTTCTAGACAACTGAGCCATTTTTAAGTCGAAATGAAGTAAAGATCACTTGCTTTCAACATTGCCTCACTAGTTATTCAAATTTTGACCGCTGATAGCCCCCAGCGGTAACTGTCGCGCACCACAACGCTTCCCTCGCACTCTGTGATAAGATAACATATATCTAGTCTAATATGCACCTATATATAACTTAATTCTCTACATGCAGGAATTAATTAGTAATGCTCAACGAGTTGGCGCACTTTCTTACGGTGGTTCTTAAGGTGAAAAACAGTATATAAAGAATTAGTTATACGCTATGCATCTCACTAAATGGATGTCTCGGCAGTGACTAAAACAGCACCAATTATTTTCCAATGCGATGGTAAATTTTTGGGGGGAAAAACACCCTGTGTGTCTAGAAAGTAACGATGGTAACAAATGTTCACCTGACCCTTTTTTTATTATTTGCAGTGTACATCGACGTTTCCGAGGCGACTCGGGCAGTCCTGACGTTCAGCATTGGAGGAGAGGTCACCGTAGCCAGGAAGTGGAATGTCCGCGTCTCGACCGTCCACTGCCTGTCTAACATGAAGGGTGAGAACTGTTATTTCCTTTTCGCCGATGAGGTGTCACTTGTATATGATACCTTCCTCTTACCTGCAACTGAATTCCACTGAATTCTACTCGAGAGCTACTGCGCTTGCGCAGAATGCTGCCGAACAACGTCTGACAGACAATATGGCGTCCTTTTTTTTTTCAAGCTAAATCTAGTGGGGAAACTGAAGTAATGTGACGTCACAGGCCAGGGCTTCGCGAAATTCGGCATCGCGAAAAACTGAGCAACTGCGACTTTGACGTTGCAATAAAACACGCTAAAATTGTGAACAGTCAATATGCAAGTCATTTTCTTTGATGTAAAATCGGTCAGCTTGAGGGTTGGTGGTAAATTTCTTCTGTCGCTCTAACCTCGCATTCTTCCTCCTTTGCCAGCTCCGGAATCCTGCCTGCAGTACCACACCGAGCCAGCGGGAGAGTTCAGCAGCTTCAACTACCGGCCCTCGGCTACCTCGCAACAAATGATCGCTGGACTCAAGTACAGCGTCTGCTTCAAAAAGCAGCTCGGCTTTTGCCAGATCTCGGTGAGTTCCGCTCAAATTAAGACCTGTTCACACGTAGTTTCACGCGCGAAACCTGTGATTATATGAAGTACACGCCGTATAAAGAGACTGCCTGCTTTATTCTTGCCAAACCGGGACAAGATCGCGAACGTCGAACAGGCGGATGATATCTATGTACTTCGGACATTTTCTCACCGGCAGTCATAGTGTTTATCGCACTGCCCTTATCGCCAGCACGCGTCTCCGCCTGTCGCTTGCCGCCATGTTTGTTTTCTCTTTTCGGGCAACGTGAGCGTTGCCCGAAATTAAAGAACTTCCGACATGCTCGAAAACATTGCTTTCTTCTCGCCTCGACAGTAGAACGTGTTAACATTTTAACTGCAACCGTCAGTCGTTCTTGTTATAACTTATGACACTTCTATACTTTTTTACTTGTTCGGGGTTATAATATCTTGCTTTTTGTTCCGAACGCATACCGGATAGGGGGACACGTGGCTGGGTGCGAGGCTAAAAATGGGACTCCTCCAAAATTTACGGGGATAAAGTAAATCAACATGAATGGCAAAAAGGATGAGGATAGGACAAAACCGATTTTTAACAGGAAGGTTGGACGTCAGCGATGTTAAGCGGCTATTGGCAGCGTCCGAGTTTCTCTTTCGGACGATTGACCGCCTCGGAGAGGTTTCACCGAAATCTCGCTCCAGAAGCAAACTGGTTTTATCAGCTGATTAAACCCGTTGGCTCTACTGACGTCTAACCCCTGGTTAGCTCAGTTGGCAGAGCGCTCCACTGGAAATGAAAGAGATCTCTGGTTCGATACCTGGACAAGACGGACTTTTTCGGTCGCGCACTAGTCACCTAGCTTGTGTTTGTCCTTTGTACCCCTTGTTCCCCTTCTCCAGGGATTATCGTCATTCTTGGTCAGCTCGCTTGCACCTTTGCATTATTTGCATTATCATTTTTGCCAACAAGGTACATCGCGTGAATAAACTAAATGAGCCCCTACACAGTGGTGCGCGAGCACAGAGAATTCCCGAGAAAGGAGAACCATGTTTCTCGGCCCAAGTAAGTAAACTATGCATCGCAGGAAGCTCAAACTCCATGAGAATGTTACGCCAGCGGTTGGGATAGAACGCGAAAGTTTGATAACGTGACGTTACCTGGATCAAAAGATACTTGTGGGCGCCTATTCTCAGCAAGAAAGAAAACAATATCCTCTTTCTTGTTGTCAAGTGTTTTCCACTGATATAATGCCCACAAACATTCAGTGCTCAGTTCTGTTTTGACGATGTTCGGCCTAGGTGAACGTCGCTCAAAGAAATCGATATTCGACACTCTAAAAGTTAAATGATTACGATTTAAGTGTACAAAACCGCTTCAGCTTCCCTTTTAGGCCCGTTCACACACTTGCGTTTGACTCCAACCGACTGAGATAAGAACGGTATTTAAGCCTCTTAGGATGGCTTACAACCGGATGCGCAGCAATGCAGCCGGTCGTAAACCGTCACAAAAGGCTTCAAAACCGGTGTTGTCTCAGTCGGTCACGTTCAAGAGCCGGTGTGACGGGCCTTTAGAAGCGTTACTTTACGTGCTGTAGATAGGAAGGGCTCAGGGGTATGTGAAAAAGAGTAATGGGGCCAGTACTGTCTTTTGGCAATTGAGTACTGTGCATGAGACCACAGGTTCAATCAGGATAGGCAATTCGACAAAGGATCGTGGGCAGGTTAGCACTGGGAGCGCATGGGAACGCACCAAATGCAGGGTGCAGGACGATGCCCGGTGAGCATGAAATGTATTCAAGTATCTGTACACGAAAGTTCAGACACAAAATGGACAAACCGATTACCGAACCCGCAAGCCGACAAATACCTGCGCTCTAGTGATGGGGTTGAGCAGACTATAGTCCGTTGCAACCTAAAAACGAAGGGCGAGGGTAAGACGGGCCGGGGAGGAGGAAGCAGACGGAACGTCGGAGAAGAGAGGGGGAACCTCCTTCTCTCTTTAGCGTTCCGTCTGCTTCCTCCTCCCCGGCCCGTCTTACCCTCGCCCTTCGTTTTTAGGTTGCAACGGACTATAGTTCGCTAAAAAAGTGCAGAGGCAAAAGAAAATCCGTGAAGAAATAATGCAAGAACACTCGGCTCAAACTATATACTAAAAAAAAAAAAGTCCGTTCAAATGTTCTCGACGTTCTAAGAACTCTTTCAACTAGTGTAGAACGGTTTCACCTCAAGCACTATCGCCCCCTGGTGCACTGAAAGGCAACTGGGCGATAAAAAAGTTTAGCGGGCGCTTAAAATACTTTTTAATCCGAAGAACCCCTAACAGCTCTTTTACGACCAGAATTTTTTCAGAGTATCTCAAAAATAGGACGCAAGGAGCAGGTATTTCATAATTCACGTACAAGTTTGCTGTTCGAGGAGAGAAAGGGAGTTTTAAGAATGACTTAAAGGGCTAAATTTCAAGAGACTATGTGTCACAATGTGAGTGAGACTCTATACTTCGCGACAACTTTTCTTGGCATTTGCGGGGAGGAAGAAGAGCCCGCGCACAGCTTTATTCAAGGCTCACAATGGGAGAGGGAACGCGTGCCTGTACCTTGCACTGCATTGCCAAGAAAAGTTGTCGCGGAGATAGAACATTTTGTTTAGAAGTGCACGGGGCTTCGCCATGTTCTCCCTGAATAAGTAACGGGTCTGGCGGGGGCGCTGTTTTGCTGGCGATGAAGAATGGAGGAGAAATGAATTACAGCCGCAAAGAAGATCCAGTGAAAATTCAATGAAGTCAAATAACTAGCACAGCTGGGCTACAGGCGGGACAGAGGAGAATGGGGACTCCGTCCCGGACGTGGCTCCGGCCCAAAGTCTCGACCCTCTTTCCCAGTAGGCCCGATTCGGGTAGCTCCGAAGAGGTTTTACAATAGCAAAATTGGCGACTCCCCATCAGGCATTATCATTCATCCATCCATCCATTCTTATATGACGATCATGTCACATTGGTCACACAAAACCCGCCTGCGACACGCACAAAGCGTAAATACGTATGAAGCAGAAATGCTTGTGTACCCGGAGGACACCGCCATTATCCTCCTGGAAGATTAGCCCGTTGCTCAAAACTCTAACGAAAGTTGCTTTCCCCACTCCGTTCACCCATGAGCTGACAGTACTGTGGAAGCTACGTGCTCGTTGCGCCAGCCACACATTTGCCACGTGATCACGCTCTCTTGCGCAGAGAATGGGGTCAGGTGACGGAAGGGAGGCGGCTGATTGGTCCGGCACGCGCATAGCTTCCACCGCACTTTCAGCTTTTGGGGCGAAGGAAATAAGTGAGATCCGGTTTCTTGTGACGTCCGTTTGAGCCGGGTAACGCGCTTTGGGTATCGCGGGTGTCTCACAGTGAAAAAGCAGATAGCTTTCGAAGGGAAGGAGGTATAAGTAGTCCGCTGTGGTTTTCAAATTTTGGTACTGAAACTCAGGCTTTCTACCTTCTTTCTTTTGGCCAAATAAACGATATGCTACAAGTAAAATCCGAATCCCAGCCCGAAATTCGTTTCATGGGCCCTTTAATACTGTATTTATTACACGTTCTACGAAATGCTAATGGTTTTTGTCTTCAGTATGTTTGAAATGGCTGGTAGACCTCAAGCAATACTAAAACACCACCAATCTCAATCAGCGTAATTTTATCGCTGGAAGAAATAACATATAGGCTACCGAAAGCGTAGAAAATGAGTCTCTAACTGTCTTCTACCCCTGTGTGATCAGTACACCGCCAGCGAGCCCGGTTCCTTCCAAGTGGGACCCTCAAATCGACCTCTGGTTGGAGCCAGGAACTGCGAGAACGCCTACGTCTTTATTCCGAGTGGTTCCAACAAGAACTTCCTGGATGACGTCACTGCCGACCGTTTCTGTGGGAGCGGCCTCGCTGGAGACATCATTGCCTGTGAGTTCCTGTCACGAGTAAATACTACGTCTGCGACGCGGTGCCTACGTGCTGCAAAACATCTGAAGATTCCCAGTGTAATATAAAAGAAACGGTATAGACATTTGCGTGTGAGTGACCCGACTGTGTTACGACTGGGGTCCGCACAACTATGGGCTACTTGTAAAACAAACAAACACACATCAAGGGGCCTTTAGTGGCGTCATTTGTTGGCTAACTTACCGTTGGCTGCCAATATGCGACTTGAAATATTGTACTCAGCTGCGTTGCTAACGGCTTTTTTGTTCTTTTGTAGCGGAAGTTGGCCCGTTCACTCTCGGTGTCCTTACCGCAAGACCGCTAGGAGCATCGAGCGGTGTTGGTGCCATTTTGGGCCGCGAACCCGCACGTGGCCCACGCGGGTTCCCGCACGTGGATGACGATAACACCACCACCACCACCATCATCGGAGTGGCCGCTAACGCTACCGAAAGCGAGTACCCCAGCACCACGCCTGACTACCTCCTGAGCAACGCCACCGGTACTTACGCCGTTTTCCTGAACTCCACGGAAGCCTTCAGGGAAGGAGAACTCAGCATGACGCCCCTCTACTTCAAGACCAACTCCAGTGGCACTTACGCAGTCTTTGAGAACACCACTGCAACCTACGGGGACGGCGACGTCACCACCACCACTCCTGCATCAAACAGTATTTATGCTGTCTTCCTGAACTCCACGGAAGCCTTCAGGGAAGGAGACCTCAGCACGATGCCTGTCTACTTCAAGACCAACGCCAGCGGAACTTACGCAGTCTTTGAGAACGCCACCGAAGTCTACGGAGACGACGTCACCGCCGCCACTCCCTCAAGCAGTGCACACACCGTCTTCCTGGACACAGTTGTCGACTTCAGGGAAGGAGACCTCAGCACCACGCCCGTCTATCTGATGACCAACGCCAGTGGCACCTACGCAGTTTTCGAGGAGATCACGGTTGCCACAATCACTGCTGATGACTCGACGACCCCTGAGACACTGTCCGGTCGTCATGGGTCATTCGTCGAGCGCCCGGTTCAGATGATGAAGCCGGTTCATGTGAAGACGGATCCACACACTGGCGCCGTCCAGACGCCAGGTGAAGCCGGTTTCGTCAAGGGCCAGTTCTCCATGGTGAAGCCCGCCCATCATACCATGACCAAGCCCATGAAGGGAGGGACTCTCATCAACGTCGTGGAGCGTCCCGACCTGTCCTCCGGTGCCGGCTTTGCGGAGCAACCCGAGAACGTAGTCGTTTCCGACCCGAGAAACATCTTCAACGGAGGATTCAAGATGAGGTACATGATGACCCACTGCTAACGCGGCGTGGTTCGTGGCGTAATATCTCCTGATGGGGCATAGTTCTTACTGAAGACATTATAGTTAGGATGTATCAATTTCTAAAACGATATCGCAGCGTGTATGTAGGAGAACTTCCTCGTGCGCTGGTGTTTCCTTTCTCCTGGTGTAATATTTATTTCTGTAACCTTGTGTTTGTGCAATAAATGGTTCTCATGCGAGTTCTGTCCTTTCTAGTCCTTAGGTTATTTTAAGTTCCATTGATTACGTAATTACCCAGTTCAACGTTTATCAAGTTAAATTTATATGCAATAGTTCCAGATTTTCTCTACCTGTGAATAAAATATTCCTCTTCAAAAATAACTTGTTCCAAGTGGAGGGTGGAGCCTGAGCTTTACCTAGACTAACGTGATCTGTCTCGCTTATGATGTTTCGTTGTTAATTCAGGTGTGAAGTTACTCCGATAAACCCGAATCGACAAAAACTTCACTGGAAACTGTGTTGGATTTTTTTTTTTTTTCAAGTCATACTCATTTCGCGTAATTTTTTTTTTTTTTTTTTTTAGTTGGAACATGTTTGTAATCTACGAACGCATCTACGAAAGTTTTGTAATCTACGAACGCATCTGCGAAAGATATAACATTTCATTCCTGTGGCGCTCGCTATAAAATTAGTCGGCATTACGTTTCGTCGGAAATCGCAGATCTTCGATTCCGCGAAATCAACCGTCAATCATGCATTGTTTTTATCAACTAAATTATCATTGAGTAGGCAATTATCAACATAACTAAACAAATCCCTTCGGAAGCTGAATTTTTGATAGAGCTCTTTAAATTTACATTGTATTTATGAGCTCTACGATGATGAGATAGTTTAGGAATCCACTTAGTTTTGGCAGCTTGTAAGGTGAGGGTTGAGTTTTTTGTGCTTTCATTTATGTCAAAGCGGTGCTTCTAAAAACCAAAATGTAAAGAGAAAGAACACGCCTGAATCTTTTCTCTTCACCATCTTCAGTGATTCTAACAAAACCGGAAATGCCTCTCAGAGGAAAATGTAATCCTACGCCGAGAAACGCCAGCCAATCGTTTTCATGACGTCACGATTCCGTGGACCAATCGCGATCCTTTTGAAGAAAAAAAAAAAAGCTCAACATGGCTGCTGGCCTTAGCAACGCGATGCTAGTTTCTCGTGACAATTATTCTGCTTTTTTGCACCGTGTTTTACGTGCCCGAGGTTACGCCACGAAATCTTAATGGTATCGGCTTGCGTTTGCAGCAGTTTCTGCGCGACAACGTGAGAATCCAGCGACGCTATCGCCAACGAAAATTTCGAAGCGGGCGCGAGGCTTAGCACTGCTGAGAGGTATGTTAGACGGTATGTTAGACAGTATCTTGGACAGAAAATGAATTGGGAAGACGGTACCTTGGACATGACTTTCTTTCTTTACTAAACAGCTATTTCGTTCACAAAAACGTATTCTAACTTATTTAAATGTCCTGAATGAATTAAATAAATATTGTAGTAGTTTAAGACACGTTTCCTGGAGGAAGAAAAAGCAACGTTGCTATAGTCAGTTACAGGTCAAGAAGGTAGCGGCAAATGCCCCTCAAAGGGAATCAGATATCCTTCGCCACCTCCGCATCCAATAGCGTCCCACCGTTTCCGTGACGTTGCGGCCAACGCGCGAGGAGGGTCTTGCCTTTCTGTACATATTTGCTTTATTTTTCGAATCTGACTTAGCATTGTGGAAGCCACGAGAGGGAGATTAGAGTTCTGCCCCACCGACGGAAACAAATGCGACTTTCAGGGATTAGCTTCCCCCCCGATGGATACAAAGGCTGCTTTCAGGGGCTCGGTTCCCTCTCCGATGAATACAAAGGTCGCTTTCTTAAAAAGTGGGATCGGAGACAAGTGGGAATCCATTGAAGCGGAACAAGGAGCGTTTCCAGTGAACTCTTCTTTCGACTGCGGAGGGATTTGAAACGGGCGCATCACACTTGTGGGAGGAGCTTCTCCTACCTTCTTGACTTGTAACCGACTATAGCCAACTACTTTCTCGACGGCGGAGGCACTTCAGATGGGCGCAATGCGCTTGTGGGTGGAGCTAAAAGATTGTTCTTAGGTTGCATCCGACTATAACAAGAACTAATTCAAATAAATGAAATCAGCCGTGTCACTTAAGTCGGATATAACCTAAAAAAAAACTGATTAGGCCAGTTCGATATTTGATTTGTCAAAAGAAGGAACGATTTTCTTTTCTCTTCTGTTTTCATGAAACGATATCAAGTTGGAATATTTATGACTGGTCCTTGAATGAAGAGCTTGTTTGTCGCGGTAAAGTTGCAAGGATAAGGGACTATTTCTTCCAGTCTTGCCTTCGCAAAGCTCGATGACGTAATTGTGGGATCGCAACCACCCACGTGACGACAGTCTAGCGCGGCTCATGGATTGGACACGAGACCTGCGTGATCACTCGACTTCGGCTCGTAACATGCCTCGGCGGTGATCATACTGAGGAGTTTCAGCGACGGTATCACCGCCCTGGCGGCCGGTCGCCGAAAGAGAACGAGGGGGATAGGTTCGCTGGGCGTTGGCTTTGTGTAAATGCTTTGGCCGCGAACGTAGGCTTATAAACTTCGGCAGCAAGAATATTACGCGGCTCTAGTGTTCCGGTGCGAGCAACAGAGATGACACGAACTGCTACGACGAGCTACGACCACCCGCCGCAGCGATGCAGGCGTCGAAGGAGCGCAACCTGTGTACTACGCAGTCAGTCGCCGTCGCCCGACGCAGGTCGTTTGGCATTCAGGACTTTCCGTCCCGGGTTCTTCGCTTGCACTTGGAACCGAGTATTATTCCCTGTGCTTCTGTATGTGCTCAGTGGCTGGATTTGGACCTCATAGAGCAGAGTTCTTCAGACTCGACAGCGACTCAAAGTTGACGGCGGAGGGGCTTGCAGCAACGCTTTCGGTTGGTGCACGGGTGCGACGACTACACGGATAAATTTTAAGATTGCTGCTAGCAAGGTGGGCCATAGTCGCTTTATGTTGACACGATTTTGAGTGTAAGTACTCCGTGCAAAGGCGAATCTATCGCGTTTCTAATCCACCTTTGTTTTTGTTGTTGTTTTTGCGCTCGCACGACCGATTGAAAATGCTTCTGTACCAATCACGGAATGAATGTCTTCGGCCTACATTGCGGGACGCCCAATAAAAAGTCATATTCGTTCAGCGAGCAAACTTCCCTTTCGAGTGACCTTCTTTGATTGATGATTTCGCCCGTACTTGAGTGCTTTAATCAACACGATCGATGAAGTTTGCTTCCCTAGTTAGGACATTTTTTGTGCCACATGCGGCACTAATGCTTGGCACGATGTATTCTACTGGTGGTATTGTGAATTGGTTTACTTCCAAAGCTACCAGTATGACAGGTGAGACCATTCAATTTGCTAAAAATGTGATATGGGAATGTCGTTGCATAACTATAGCGTTTTACGTTTAAGATTGATAAGAAACATGCTCATGTGATGACGCACGTCTACAGCATAAGCTTTGCAGATCCAGAATGGATGTGCTACAGGCTCAAGACTTTTAATGGACCAAATTGGTGATTACATGGCAATAAATATTGTGGAAAACTGCCCATTGACTCGGTGAGTTTTGATCGTGACCATTGGCGTGCTGTTGGCAAATTAAAGGGACATTGCATCTAGATGTGCTTAAATATCTTTATGTCAAGGTTCAGTGGACCCCTTTGCATCATTACAGGAAGGCACTCTCAAGCCACAACAAACAGCAGTGAATATACAATGCATAATAACGGGCACCAGTGTCCAGGCGTATAGCCCGCAGAAGCCAATTTGAGCCTAAAAATGTTTTTGTTTTGTTTAGATAGTTTGCATTTGGTGTATAATTCGCAGGGCCCGATTTCCGCGCCCAGTGCATAGTCCGCCAAGCTGGTGCGTTGCGTCTTTGTGCTTTTTTTCCTGGGTGGCATTTTCTTCAGAAGTTCTTCGGCGAACGCTATTGAGCCTGAAGAACTGCTCTTGAGGCCCATATCCAGCCACTGAGCACACACAAGCACAGAAAATAACACTCGGTGCCAAATACAAACGAAGCACTTGGGCGGAAAGCCGTGAATGCCAAACGAGCAATGTCGGGTGACGGCGACTGACTGCGTTGCGCCCCTTCGACGCCTGCATCGCTGCGGTAGGTGGTCGCAGCTAGTCGTAGCGAGATGATCTTCACTTGAAGCAAGAAATCTTGCCATACCATAGTCAAGATATGTGTGCAAGTGTTCGACGACGTGGGCTCTCTCACGTTGGTGCAGTTGTCATCAAGAAAGGTACATAACAATGTTGAGTGTTTGAGGCTGAAACTATGACGCATACTTATCTAAACCTAAATTTATCGGTCTGTGGCTACAAACATTTTCGTTGACGTTGCTTAGATCATGTAACCATTCAGGCCTCAAATTAAATGGTGTTTCGAACTCTTCGGTTGTGTATGAAAACTATTTGCTCTAATAAAAGACATTTTGAAAAGGACACATGTCTTCTGCTGATACATATCTTCCAATTTACAATGCAGAAGCAAACAGAAAATCAACTGCATACATCTACCACTTGGCATAAGCACCTTTTGCAATTCATTCTTGAGCACACTCAAATATCAGCTAAGGTTGCTCTTGTTTTAGAAGCTTTGCCCTGTTCTGTAAAAAGAAAACAGTTAAAAAAGCTTTACCTTCGTTCTCCTCCTCGCATTTAATACAGACTTGTTTGTCAGCAGATGACACACAGCAGATATCACCGTGGCACATACAACTCGAATGACCGATGAGACTATTGCTATTACAATAAAGCTTTCCACAAGAGCCAAAATGAGGCTTGTAGGGATGCACAAGCACATGGAAATGAGATTGGCGCTTCCGGGGCTTGTTTACACTAAGCGTAAAAACAGGACGATCGGCGACCAGCTGATCGCAATATAACACCAAGGATACCGATGTTTCGATACATAGAACGCAGGATAAAGACCTCAATCGTCCCTTGTATGCTGTAGTTGTCATACTTTCCATCCCACCGCTTTTTAGCACAATTAACTAGAACAACCGAAAAGTTCGCAACACCTTCTAATGCGAGGCCTGAATGGTTACATCATCTAAGCCACGTCAACGAAAATGTTCGTAGCCGCAGGCCGATAAGTTTAGTTTGAGATAAAGTACGCGTCATAGTTTGAACGCGCGAACATTGTTGATATGTACCTTTCTTTGGACCCGCGTGCATTCGGTTCAACTTGATGACAGCTGCACCAGCGTGAGAGCTCACGTCGAACACTTGCACACATATCTTGACTATGGCAAGATTTCTTGCCTTCGACTGGCTTGAACACTTCATCTGTAGCATCACGGTAGGTCTTGGTTGAAATGATGATCGTCTCGCACACGGCAACAATTAGAGAACGACACGCTTTGTTCTATTTATACGCTACCGGTCTACGGGCGTCGCAAATCTATCCCCCTCTTGTCCGCCATGTTGGATCTATCGGAGCGCCCCCTATATTCGCTGAAACTCCTCAATACCGAGCGTGGCTATGATTAACGTTGTCGGCATAGGATAGGCACCAGCTCACGTGGTCGCTTTTTCTAGCTCCGAGTTGAGGGGATGAACGGTGCTCATATTTCTCGAACTTATTTGCCCGCTGCCGTAGAAAAAGGCAAGTTTATTTTGTAATTAACGTTAGGGAGTGATTCTGAGTAGTATCCGCCTCTCCAACGTTTCCTCTGCTAAAGTGTAAGATATATTCTCACTTTTATGGTACAAGCAGTGTCCTTCCTATTCATTTGAAGTGGGACTACCCGTCTGGCCCGCGGGGTACTATAATTACCGGACTGTGACACACATGATGCATGTAAACAAATGGGATAAAATCAAATTCGAAAGTTCAAAGCATTCCTCCGCGCTGTAGACTCGTTCATGCGGAGTCGATGGAACCGCTCGATTTCTGTGAATCTCTGTGACAGGTGGTAGAAGTCACGTGTTTCCGGAGTGGGTGTAGTCGTCTGAAAAAGATTAACCGTCAACCGGCTTTGGCCGAGTGTGTTGGCGTGCCGTAGCTCGGAGCGCGTGGACCGAAAACTCGCGCTGCAGTGGATCCCCGTCGCGCCCCTCACTAGTGAACCTCACAACGCTGCAAGACGCGTTGCGAGGTTCACTAGTGACGCGTTGGTGGCGATGCTGAGGCGGAGGCGGCGCTTTGTAGGATTCACTAGTGATGACGTTGGGGGAAAAAGGGGGGGGGGGGGGGGGGGGGTGAAGGCGCAGTGCGCAGGTCATAAAATCTATTACCTCATTCCTGACCTTCAAAATTAGTTGCTATCACACCCCCGACCGAACATCACACGTGCCATCAAACGTATTTCAGGCTCGACGAGCGCTCTTAATCGATCATTCCTTCCTCAGGCCATCAGCGACTGGAATAACCTGCCATCATCTATTGTCATCACTCTGGACAAGCATAATTTTCTATCTTTTATTAAACTTCATTTTTTTTCTTACTAGTTTTATGATTTGTGTAATTATGAACAGTCCTGAGTGTGTTAAGTGTGTGACGTTTTTAGTTTCCTTTTGGTGTTTTTCATGCATTTGCGTTTTCGGTATTGTATAAATCTGGGATCCCCCCCCCTTTATGTAATGCCCTTCACGGGCCCTTTAAGGGTTGATCTAAACCGAGATTTGGATTGAAAAAAAAAAATAAAATAAAAGAAAAACAATGCAGGAGATGTAGGCGGGACGCTACAATCCCTACAACGATACTCGTAAGGCGATATCTCGAATGGACGGCCGTATTTTTGGAAAAAGAAGTCGAGATTGAACCAGGCCGACGAGGCGCGTGACGTGAAGATATCTCGTTTGCTCCTCTCTTCGCTTTGCCCCCTCAAGGCGGCGAGGCGGAGAAGACGCGAGGCCGTTCCCTCTCCTTCTCGGAGAAACAAGTCGCAAACATTTCGGTCAAAAGCGCCTCCTTTATTTGAAAAATGCGGTCATCCGTTCGAGATATCGCTGTATGAGTGATGTTTTGGTGTTTGTAGGATCCCGTTGCACGCTTTTGCCGCGTGTTTTGTGTAATCCATATTTCGGTTCAGCAACCCTTTAAGGTGTAAATAAATGAAATGAAATAAAATGAATCTTGTCTCCACCTGCCTAAAGGCCCTTGTTAAAATTCAGTCTTCGCGTTTCTTCCAATCACTGACAACCGGTGTTATGCGAGCGCTCAAGTCACGTGCCACGAGCGAGTGCGGCGTCCCCTTTCGCTTCCAAGGTTCACCCATAAGCTGAAAGTGCCTAGGGAGCTACGCGCTTGCCGGACAAATCAACAACCTCTCTTTCATCTCTGTGCGTGAGTACGGGATCGGCGGACCGCGGGAGCGTGATCACGTGTCGAAGTGACGTATGAATGAGTCATGACCGGCCCACTGAGCACTGTCAGCTAAGGGTTGAACGGAGTACACGAAGGTTTCAGCTAAACAAGTGGCGTAGCCAGAGGGGATTTATGAGGCTTCGGCTCCACTCCCCCCCCCCCCCCTCTTTTTCGTCATGAGCAAGAGGTCATAAACATATGTGATATGTGTAGATTTTTTTTTTTATCCTTACTAAACTATTTCTTTTTTAAAGCGAAAGAATTAACTGTCTCGTGGAGCGAGCCGACGACACCAGCTTTGAAACCTCGCCAAAAGGCACCTTAAATCCTTACTCCAAGTGAAGCCAGCTCCCAGCTATGAAACCACGCGAAAAGCCTATCCAAACGGCACCTAGTTTCCCCGATCCCAAAGGAGCAGAGTAAAGCTGATAGATTTCGGCTTCAGTCCCATTGGCTGACGCGCGTCGACGAGGCTCCCATTGGCAGCTGGCCGTCAGTTTCAACGACGGTCACCCCATGGCGCTGCGTGTCCGTGAGGCAGCGGCCACAGGCAGCGGATCCACCGTTCCACGCCCAAGGTCAGCGCGCGCGCTCGACATCAACGCAAGTAAAAAAAAAAAAAAAAAAAAAAATAATAATAATCAAAAATAAAAAAAGGGAAGGGAAGAGCGGCGTACATGCTTTCGTATTTACAACTCATAAGCGCTTAGGTGTACCTCGAGCCTTTTTTATTAGAGTGGTATGGAAGGTTAGTTCTGCGGACACACCCGTCTGCATGGGCACCCGCCTCTCCGCAGAACCCGCGCACCCTCCGTGCCCCCCCCCCCCCCCCCCTCCCTTTGTTTTTTACAGTGCAAATAATCTCTGGAGAAAAGATTATTCTCCAGGGAATATTATCACCATTATTGTCCAGCTCGTTTGCGCCTTTGCATTAATTGTATTATCGTCATAAACACCCCAGCCAGCACCTCCCCCCCCCCCCCCCCCCCCTCCCTTGAATATATTCTTGACCACTCAAACAGATCAAGTTCATTTACCCCTGCCTACTTCGACATAGATACCGGCGCGCGGTAGTGTATTACTAGTGCGACCGAGTAGGACCGACTGTGACAAGACCGGCTGCACTGTAAACACTGTAACCCAAGCGTACTGCGCTAGGAAAGTTTCACATCTGCAGCCTACAGCGAAAAGACTGTCAGTGCGCAGGCGAGCAGGTGGTAGCTAATCATGTCATTTAACACCTGATTCTGTGGTGCAGAAAGGGAAAAAAGGGAACAGACACAGAAGGGAACGTCTCTTCTGTCCTGAGATTGAGCTACCTCCAACTCGCCTGCGCACTTACAGTCTTGTCTCTTCTTTATATATATAAATGGTTTTTCGCCATCGGTATTATATTGGCTGAGATATTTTACTGGTTTATGACGCTGTGAAACTCTCCTCCAACGCGTTACTTCTCAACTGCTAACTGAACAAAATAATCGAAACCGAAACCGATAAACGGAAACCGGAACTGTCTTGCCTGGCATACGAAAGTGCGATTTGCAAATTGCAACCGACAGGGCGGCCGAATCGGTTAGTCGTCAAGATGGCCACTCCGCCGGAAGGTTTAGTCGCCGAATGTGTCCACCAAAATGACTCAAACTCGCTCAAATCCACGCCAGAGGAGGAAGAGCAGGCCAACAGATTCAAGGAAGAAGCCAACGAATATTTTAAGAGTAAGCACGCACCGGACGCTCGTCTGTTTCAAGCTCTTTGCATCACGTAGAACCACATGGGATCGCCGGCTCACCTCAGTACTCGCTGCGCGCCGTGCCGGCCCCTTTGTCACATGAAGATAGGTCCCGCGTGAGCTTCAAAAATATTTGCGGACACTAGTTTGCGTATTTTAGCCGAGCACTGCGAAGAAATGGAAAGCTATTTCTTAAGGCTTCGCGGGTTTTCGGTTGTGTCGCAAATTGGGACTCGCCGTACCATGTGCGACCATGCGTTTCGTCACTTAGTAGTACGGTAGTACCTCTCGGGAACTTCGCTCGGTGAACACTTCGCATACATTTGACCTGAATGGCACCAGTCGCGCTTCGTTAATAACTGAGCCGCGACGTTCGAGATCTCGGAGCCGCTATCGGCGCAACTGTTTCTAAATCCAAAATAGACTCTGAATACTCGGTGTTACGTTGAGCGCACTTGCGTTCAGTTCCTTGCAATGGCTCTTAATCCTCTTAAAATGGCTCACTAAAGACGACGACTTGATGTAGAACGTGGTGATCTATTTTATATAATACCCAAGTAGCAGATTTGGCCTGATTGCTTGACAGAAACGAGAGGAGAAAAAGGTTATTAATACCCATCACTTTCCACGACTGAGCGGTGGATAATGAAAGGAAATTGAATATAGCTTTCAGACTTGCTGACGTGACGAAGCGTGATCGATTCACTCGCATGTATCGTCAGCCCATCGCGGAGAAATGGCAGTTCTTCTGTTACTTCTCTACAGCCTGGTTTTAAACCTTGATATCCTATCACTGATCAGTTAGTCATCTTTGAAAGATGTCGCAGCTGGCAGGGAAGAGCTGTCAGTTTTTACGCCCCCTGCACAAGCCCGCCGCGTCTTGTAGTATCTAGACCATGCAAACGTTCGAGGTTTACGCAAACAACAGTCTATTGAAAGTAGGAAGTTTGTGCTGGGTGAGACAAATCACAGATCTCCTGTCATTTGAATGGCATCAGTGTCTGCGGCTAACTTTACGGTTTCACCCGCAGAGCAAGAATTCAACTTTGCCATCGACCTATACTCCAAGGCAATAGAGTTGGATCCGTACAAGGCTGTCTACTATGGGAACAGGAGCTTTGCCTATCTCAAGACGGAGTGTTTTGGCTATGCACTATCCGACGCATCGAAGGCCATTGAGCTTGACAGGAGCTATGTCAAGGTACTGTAATTGCCCTATCAATACGTGAAAAAACAAGAAAAAAAAAAAAGAAAGAAAGAGATTCTTTATACATTTTTTGCATGTGATGTCATATGGCACCGTAGCAGCCGCCATTGCTCCGTACCGTACTCCTGTGCCATTCCCTTCTGCATCATACATCATCTCGCAAAATCGAATTTGTTCTCCTTGGCAAGCCTTGTGGAGAAAAGCAGGTTCGATAATGCCAAATGTATGCTGCAAAAGGTGCAGGCACAAGAACATGGTACAGAGCAATGTCGGCTGACGTGACGTCAAGGCAAGCTATGAAGAGCTTTCTGAAAATGGACCGTGTGAAATGGTTGCTTCCTGTCTAGAGGAGTGACTGTACCTTGGTACTTTTTCCGTCTGCCTGGTGCTTTGTCTGTGTACTTTGCTCCATTAGATATCTTGCTCATTTATTCAGGAAAATTGTCAAAGGGTTGCTACCCTGGTGTGACAAGCCGGATCAATAATACAAGGTCTCCTTCTATCAAACATCAGTGTCTCTTTCTTTGCTATCTAGCGCGCATTTCTCCCCTTCTCTCAAACATATACTCTCTCTGCAGTTCTCAACTTTGTTGTATTTTTCCAGAAAAAACTGTTTCATCAGTCTCCAGATTGCATTGAACAAATAAAATAAGAATAATCAGACAAACTGTTTTGACAGCATGAATTTGGCCTGCTTGTGAGATTGGATATTCTGGGTTTATGCCGTGAATGAAGAATTTAGCCAGTGTAGCACCATTAGTAACCTTGGGTATTTATTGTGTGTCGTGCTGAAGTGATTGCACAAATGCACGCCTGTATGGTGTTCATCCAGATCAGTGCTAAACCAGTTGAAGTGAATGAATGATCAAATTTATTTGGATAAGGATGACTTCATCACCTGGCAGGGTTGGGATTGGTGCAGCGAGTTACAGTCACATCCCGAAATTTTGTTAGCTTAGGACGACTCTAACTCAATTACGAGAATACAGCACTCTTTCCAAACTTGCCTGCCTTGGAGAAGGGGAACAAGAGGGACAAAGGACAAACACAAATCTCTAAACACAGCTAGGTGACTGGTGCGCAACCGAAAAAATCTGCCTGGTCCAAATATTTCTTCAGTGGCGCACCAGTCACCTAGCTGTGTTTGGAGATTTGTGTTTGTCCTTTGTCCCTCTTGTTCCCCCTCTCCAGGGATTATTTTCGTCGTTCTTGTCCAGCTCGCTTGCACCTTTGCATTTAATTGCATTATAATTATATGCCTGCCTTTCTTTCATTGGATTAGGGTTGAAGGCTACAGTAGTATTATGAAATGTCACTAAAATTCGGTTTTAGTGATGCATCTTGAAGGTTGCTGGAAACAATTCTGAATTAATTGCTGAGTCAACCAGTCCTGTTTTGCCTGTGCATGGCAAGCATAGCTCTTTAGGGGGTTTTAAAGTGCTCGGGCAAATGTTTTTCAAGGAGAGAATTCTTGCCACCCTTTCATTGAGTTTACATTAGCAAAAATACTCCAAAAGCCTGGAGATGTCATAATTAAAATAAGGACACCGACTTGACGTAACAAAAAATAATTTCAGACCCTCACATTGCTGCTGTACTTACTGAAGATGTCTCCCATGTAAGAGACGAAATGTTTAAGGAAATTGTTCTTTGGTTTTTTTTTTATGTCAAGTTGGTGTCCTTATTGAGTTTACATTTGTTTATTTAAGCAATCCCTTCAAACTTGTAACCTCACTTTTAGGGTAGGTTAGAATATGTTGATTTTTATGCCTAGTGTTTGTGTGCATATTGCTTGAACAGATGCAAAGTAAAAAAAAAGAAGGCAAATAGTTACGAAATAATAATTCTGGTTAGTGTAACTTTGTATTGCTGGTGAATGTTGGTGAGCTTCAGGATTTACAGTGTGGTAATGCCTTATTATAAGCAATTCTGCTTGAAATATGACTAGGGAAGAAGTATATTTTATGACTCTATAATGATGTTTGTCCCTTTACTTTCAATGTCCATACAGGGTGTTTTTTTAAGCTTTAGAGATTTGTTTAAATAAAGCCGTGAAAGCTACACTTCTGCTGTTTGTGCAGGTGAGTTAATTGGCCAGGGGGACATAGTGTATGGGGCTAATCATAATGATCAGTTGTCAAATTAAGTAAAACTTGTTAACTAACTTTCTAATTAGTGAACATAGACATGGTTCCAATTAGAAACATGCTGAGCATCTTCCAAAACCACTAAATCAATAATCTTTAGAACTACATCGAGCGCATGGAAAGCGCAGTAGTGCGCTAAAGGTGCCCACCACCCATGCAACAGTTACCAGGCTGGGACTATCATAAAAGAGACGGAAAAATCGCGCGGGTGCTTCCTCGCACCGATAGCCTTGCTCCTGCTGCCCAGGTGGTCACTTAAACGCACTACTGCGCTTCTCTTGCTCTCAGCCTTTCTAAAACTTACTGTTTTAGTGGTTTTTGATGCCACTCAACAATATTCTAATTGGAACTATATGTCTATTTTCACTAATTAAAAAGTTTATTAAAAAAAACCTTTCCACTATGGTGAAGAGTGGAAGACGAGGGAAGCTGTACTATGGTTGGAATGAAGTAATGGCCTGCCGCAAGTCGGCAGGCCAGAGTGGAGAGGCTCGAAAGGTTGCCGCCGTCGCTTGTAGATGGCGGTAGCTGTCCAGAGTTCTGTGTCATCATTTGTTTGCTGACGGACACGATCCTGGGCAAACTGGCCCTTAGCAGCTCCACTGTAAAATTTCACCTAACTAATCGACTGATCGTTACGATTAGCCCCCTATACTACGTCCCCCTGGCCGTATAACTCACCCGCACAACCTGCACAAATGTAGCCTTCATGGCTTTTTTAAACAAATCTGTAATGCTTAAAAGACACCCTGTATAATACAGAGCCACGCTCATTCAGACAATGCAGGCATCAAACATTTGAGTGCAATTCATGTTTCAATTATATTTCTTTTCACATACTGGGGCAGCGTTGTTGTGTCTAACTGCACGCCACATTCCTACTGTCCCCCACCGTAGGGATACTACAGGAGAGCTGCAGCACACATGTCCCTAGGAAAATTCAAGCTGGCTCTCAAGGACTTCGAGGCGGTAAGCTTCGGCCTTTAAACGCAGGATGTGTCTGACAACTGGGATCCCTGAGGAAAGTGTGATGAAACGCTACGAAAACCATTACCATAATATCCTGAGAGGCCCCACCCCCGAAAGATAACCAACCCCCTAGATTTGGCATGATTTGCTATTTTAGCCCCCATTTAGTAATTGCAGGGCCCTGGCCAATGGTGACCTCGGTGCAAATGGTGTTACTTAGCTAAGACGGGAGATAAACAAACATTGCTGACAGACAAGGACAGTTTTCCTTCCCCTCCCCCGCAATCGCAAGTTTCGCAGACCACAAAATCTAAAACTAGCATTCTTTTGTTTTAACTTTCTTTCATTGCACATTGAAAGTTAGCCGATTCCTTATTTTCAGCAAATTTGCTTTCAATTTTAGGTGGGCTATGTTTCGGGGTATTACATTACACAATCTGTAACACATACTTTAGAGGACAATCTCTGCAAAACAAATACATAGTTGAAAAGAAATATTAGTTGATTGAGAAGAAAGGACAAAATTCCAAACGAACCCCGATGGGAATCGAACCCACGATCACGAACAAGACACCCTACCAGAGCACCAAAGGAGCGGTGGCAGTGTGTCGGCGCCAAAGGGGCAGTGGCCAACGCGCACGCCGAAAGGCAGACGCCGCGTTCGGCATTCATACCCATTTGAACGGTGAGCAGAGACAGAGGCAGCTTTGTGTCTACCCACGAATCATTCCAACCGGAGGTCAATGCCGTGACGTCCACGTACGCTCTCATCTCCTCTTCTCCCTCAGTTTCTATTCGTATAACCGAAGAAAATTAGAAGAAACAAATAATAACTGCGAAATGTGCCACAAGCTCCGAAGAATGTTGCAGAAACACATTCTTCGTTTACAAACTTTTATCCGTAGGCCAAGATCATTTTTTCCCCTCCTTCTGGGCGAAAGAAGGTCTCCAAAGAAGGCCGCTAACAAACGACAGCACGCTCCCGCTGCCCAGGTGACGAAGGCCAGGCCCAACGACAAGGACGCCTGCGCTAAGTACAACGAATGCAACAAGATTGTGCGGAGGATAGCCTTCGAGAAGGCCATTGCCGTGGACGACCTCAAGAAGTCCGTGGCGGACAGCATTGACATCGAGGCCATGTGTGAGTGGGGCCTTCCTCTTTGTCTTTGAGCTCCATCCCTCGATACTGCGAAGCCCGTTTCGCAATGCGCAATTTCTGTCGTTCTGTGAATGCAAAGACGCTCGTATGGTACAAGAACCGTGCGCAGCAGCTGAAGTGCGTGTTGTGTCCGCGAGGCAAAAAGACTCGCGAGACCAAAAATGACAGGAATTTTTTTTCATGGTTGCTTCAAGTAAAACGGCTTCCACAGATAGGTCATCAGTAAGGTTCCGTGTACTCGGTATACAGCGGTAAACTCTGAAAAGTAACCCCGAGCCGGTTTTATCAAAATCGGGGAAGTCCGAAGAACCCTGAATCGGAGTTAGCTTTGAGTGAAGAAAAACCCGAGCTTCGCGGGAAGAAATCTTTATCTACGGCTTTGTTTTGTCTTCTCCCGAAACACAGTCCCTGCTCAACTGTCTGCGAGGCTGCCAAGTTCAATTCTATGCCTCGAGCGTATGATTATTAGAAAAGGACCACTTAGGTGGCTTTAGCGATGCCTCTCGTAGCGACTGCGCTCGAGATCGCTCTTGCGGCATGCAGGCATAGAGGACGACTACACCGGTCCAGAGCTGAAGGAGGGCAAGGTGACGGTCGAGTTCATGAAGCAACTCATGGAGACATTCAAGGCGGGCAAGAAGCTCCACCGCAAGTACGCCTACAAGGCAAGGATTCCCCCGAGCTTTATTTTTTTCAAAGGCTCAGTTCCGCGTTAATGTGTCTAGTAGAGCTGCGCCTAGTGTCACGTCGCCGGCGCTGCTTTATATACAAACACGACGATAGCCTAGCTTTGCGTTTCTCTTTTTTTATTGAAAGAGTTTGAAGACAGTTAATTACGGTCACTGATGAGATGAGTACGGCAGGGCGTCTCTTTCGAACGCACGCTTGAGCTGCCCGAGACGTTGAAGCGTCATCGAAGGCAGGAAGCTTGCGTTGGAGGCGGGACTATTGAAGCTCCTCCCTTCCGTTCTGATATTGTCGGCCACTGCACTAGTGTGGAATACCGCTTGAACAAGCTCCAATTCAACAAACTGTTCACATGAATGTGCTTTTGTAAAATATTTTATACCTCATTACGTCTCTGGCATTCAGTTGAGCGAACCTTCACTGAGGCAGACTTTTTCTTGAGGTCCTTCGAAGTTTAGTCTGGTGCCACTTCACTGCCCGATTAATTGGGACGGGTGCTCCCTCTATGCTGTGCGTGTTTTTCTTTTGCAAGACTGTTGGGGGTTTAGTTTGTACATTGGGACGTTGTGAAATATGCACCATGGCTGGCCTTGCTTTCAAAGTAACAACCTTTTTTTTTTTCTGTGTTTTCGAGCAGATGCTGGTGGATGCCAAGGCCATGTTCCAGTCGCTCCCAAGTTTGGTGGACATTGAAGTGCCTAGTGTGAGTTCCCTTACTGCCTCAATCATGGGTTGCTCATAGTACATTTAATATCATTCCATTTACACAAACTAGAGTAGATTGACTTGACTTTCATCTAGAAGCACAACTCGCACCCTCTAGATGACTGGTGTACTGTTGAAAAATTTCACCTAGTCTAAGCAATTGTCCTTAGGCCTCTCCAGAAATAGCGAAGCTCTTTACCAACAGAGCTAACAAGGAATCAGTAGTGAAAGAATTAAATCTGTCATGCCAGCCCATTTTTAGACACAACTGCCTAGATACAACATACATGAAAATTAATGCACACATCCCTATGAGTGGTCACTGAATTGAAATTTAAAATATACTATCACATTCAGAAATAACTTAGGCATGATCTACTCTTTCTACTAATGACAGTCACATGCTTGTATTTCAAACGAGTGGCTGCATTTCTCGTTCTAAATGTCAGATTCTGGTGAGCACTTGAAGATCGACTATCGAACAGTGCAGTGCATCTCAGAAGATCCGTCGCGTCCGCGACGTCATCGGCCTCCCTAGGGCCAAGTGTATCGTAGTTAGAAGCGTTGACACCTGGTGGCGTCAACGTGTTACTACCTTGCTTAGTCAGAGTGCCCGAGGGCTCTAACATGTCACCGGAAGATCGCAGAGCCGGCGGAGTCGTGCGTGCTATGACAACACGTAGTGCACCGTCTGTTCGCGACTTGGTCGATATGGCGACATTGGCAACGTCTGTTTCGGGCACGAGCTCCCTGCTCTTTGAACGAGACAACGTCATCGCGAGGCGGCTAAGGGTACCTCTGTGATCTTGCACGAGGCGAGATGCTGGTAGATTTCCCACCCCATCTTGTCGAAGGTGACGGCAGTGTCATCTATGACATTGGTAGGATGAGGCAATTGTTGCTTACCTGATTTACCACCGGCTGACCACAACGACCAAACTTGCCGAGGGTGCCAGTTTCAGGGATAAATAAATATGGCTTCAAAGGCGCCATTCCAGTGGGCATCATTCATTTATTAAAGTGAGTGGGGAGGCAGGCTGAGTCTGGTGAGGCACGGTGGTGGCATCGCTCAACTGTTTCATGCAGTGTATCGTGTCGATAATGGTGTGACTGCAGCATTGTCGTGCCACTGCGAAGAAGCGCGTACACCATGACTATTTTGCGACATTTCTTGTCACAAAAGCAAACACTAAACGAATGAAGGGAAGGTATCGGTGTAGAGGAAGCTTGCGCTGGTCTCGACAGGACGCGATTTTCCAACTGAAGGCACAGAGAACATGGCTGTACAATTCTCACATCGTCAGACAAGAACCACCACGAAAGAACGCTCGCATCACCGCGATTTTGCAACTCGACTTGCCTCAGTGGCGAACATAGTGAATAAAGAGAAGGCATCGGCACCACTTTCCTCGGTCTTGTCGAGCGAGGTTGTCCCAGCAGGGGCACTTAGCACGTCGATGGAGACTAAGTTGAATAACGAGACGATTGCTGAATTCTCACATTGTCGCACAGAAACTACCGCGCACAAAAGCGGGTACCAGCACAGCTCTGCAACATAAACCTGGGTCACTTCGGGCGTTCCTTTGCAAGAGCGACGCTGGAAGCAGCGCGTGCCATGTTGAAAAAAGATAGTTCATCACCCCCTGATGTCACTGACGTCAAAGAATGAGTGGAAGCAATTGGCTGGCGGAGTGAGTCCAAGGTGGCCAACTGTGCTTTGGTTTTCTTGACCAAACCTTTGGTATTACATGATGGCCTATGTAATCTGTACTAGTGAGCATACTTCCCATATAGTGGTGCTGCTGTTAAAGGCCGATGCCGTCTCGACATTCCATCAAAGTTCCATACCCAGAAAATAGGTGGTTCTTGGCTATCATTTAATGCAGTCCAAAAATCCTTTTCTTGCATTTTCCAACAAAATATTTATGTTTCTGAGGTTCTACTAATAACTACGTCATGTTGAAGCAAAGAAATGAGCTCCAAAATTTGGTTTTTCTACCCCTTTAAAGGGACTGGTGTTCATGAACGTTGCATCTGGAAAAATTGCATTTACTGAGGAATGAGGCAGTGCAAGAATGTTTGTGTAATCTCTACCTGTCCTCCGAAAACCCTAAACAGAACTGGCGTAAAATTTCCACCTCAAAATTACCTCCAAAACCTAAGAATTGCTCAACTGCACTCCTCATCCGTTTCTAGCTTGTTACCATACTTGTTGCCATGATTACGGTGGTTTCAAATGTTGAAAATGCTACATTTAGGCCATACTTCTTTTATGTGGTTCATCCTTTTGCGCCTAATGAAAGAGAGGGCACATTGGTGAATGTGAATGATTGGGAGAAGGCATGTGTTGAAGGAGAAGAGGGCACTTTAGCACCTCTGACGTCAAATATCGCATAGAGCTCCAGGAAAATATTAAAGATGCTCTTTTATTTGCTCGAGCAATTTTTATGCATAATTCTTAACATACTGAGCTAAATTTGGATTTTTATCTAAATGATAGATGAGAAGTCCTGAATCAAAGCAAATTATAAGATGCTTTTTTCTTTTTTTTTTTTTCTTTTTTTTGTAAAATGGCTTTTTGATTTGTGCATTTGTTGTCTCGTGCAATATTCTTGCGATCGGTGAACCCTTTTGCTGCGTCTGCAGGATTCCAAGTTCACGGTGTGCGGAGACATCCACGGCCAGTTCTTCGACCTCATGAACATCTTTGAGCTCAACGGGCTGCCCTCTGAGAGCAATCCTTACGTATCCTTTTCTGAACTCGACTCAAGGACAGATTGGGTTCTTTGGGTGCCTAATAAATATTTCTAGATGTTCATTAGGCACCCAAAATCCGAATTTGTACCCACTCCTACCTAATGACACAAGCAGTGAATTTTCTTCAAATTAGCTCCACTTTGTGAGGCTTTACAGCGCAACATAGTACACACTTACGAGCACCTTGGCAGGTATTTAATCTAAACACTGGTCTGCTTAGTGCACCAAAATACACTAAGCAAAAATAAAATGCATGCTGTTGACAAGAATTGGTGCTTCATAGTAACGTGTCTTGAACGAGGTACATTATTACCACTTCCTCTGACAGGCAGTGATAGGTTGCTGTACAAAAACCTCACGATTCGTGTAGTTCAACTGGCTTGAATATAGCCACATGCAACCTATCAGTGGGCTCCGTCCTCTTTGTCGCAGATATCGTAGAATGCTGTACTCTGGGCGCACTCAGTGACCCCAGTCATCCATAGTAATGTCATAGGTTTTTGAAAACTGTCAAATAGCCTTTTTTTTTTATTGGGGTGGGGTTGCTTTATGATTTGTGGCTACCCCCCAAGACTTTTGGTCCTTGACTTGTTCATTAGCTGTTCAACGGTGACTTCGTGGATCGCGGATCCTTCTCGGTGGAGTGCATCTTCACCCTCTTGGGTTTCAAGCTCCTCTACCCGCAGCACTTCTACATGTCCAGAGGTAATCCACGCCGATGCCCACTAACAAAAACAGGCGCTAGTCGAGAATGGTTAAGACTTCCTTTTCTTTTTTAACATCTTCAGTTCACCTTGGCCTTTAGGTGAATGTGCATTAACTTCCATGCTCTTGCTGAGGTGATAACTTGCCATTGACCACTTCTGATTTTGGTTCTTTTTTTTTTTTTTTTTTTTGGAAGGGGAATATTGGCTTTGTGTATGTATCAAACCAATGGCCACAAAGCGAGATTAGAAATGTTTTCATTTGAGATCTGCACAGGCTCGAGCAATCCCTAAAACTCAACCCGACTCTCGGGCCGTACTCGGGCCCATATACAAGCTCCCTAGTCCTGCTTGGGTTCGGGCCAATTTATTTCGAGCTCTGTCGAGCTCGGGCTGGGATTGCGGTGTCGGTACCCGACAACCGAATTTTTCTGAATCTAGAAAGTCGACTTTAGGAACTGTGGTATACCCTCTTGTAACATCTTTAAATGTGCAAAACGTAGCGGAAAGCGAGTGCAAGTTATAACGCAGAAAAAGGCGACGCAGGTTGATGATGATAGCATGTAAATGCCATCATAACTTGTATATCAAATTTCATCCTCCACGATCAATTTTGCTCCTGTAGGCGATAGCTTGTCGCGAGCTGGTTTTTGTTTTCTATTCAAGATAACTTGTGTTCTAGATCTTATTCATGAAAATACTAAATAATGCCAACTAAGCTCTTTTGCATTTACAAATTTTTTCTTCCCTAGAGATTCACTTAAACATAAAATAAATTGCTGTGTATCATTCTAGTTACTTAAATGAGTGGTGAAGTTAGGCCAACCTTGGGCCGTTGTTTTTAGTGTTCTTAAATGACTTGCCGTCGCAGGTGCACAATTCCAAAGCATTATTGTACACCGATGACTTGAAATTGTTCAGAAAGGTCGAGAATGTGCAGGACGGCTTTCTGTTACAAAATGACGTATGTTGTGTTGAGCAATGGTGCAAAACTAATAGACTGCAACTAAATCTCAAAACTCCGGTAATGTCAATGAGCAGGAAACACGATTGCATTGTGATCAACTATATTCTCTGGCAGCCAGATACAGCGCATCTCTTGTATGGGACCTTGGTGTTCCGTGGACACCAGGCAGGATTTTCGCCAGCATATCTTCAACATAGCCAGTCAGGCAGTAGAATACCTTGATGCTGTATCATTGTTAATAAGATGATTTCGCAGACTGCACTGCATCCGCTCTCTTTATTGTTCACTTGTCCGGCAGCATTTAGAGTTTGCATCCGTATGGTCGTCGCCGTTTTTATAGCTACAGCTCTGTTTTGGAAGACCTTGGCCTTCAGACTCTTCGGGACAAGGGGCTGGCACGTGACATGACATTTTACGCATTGTACGCGGTACACTTGACTGTGATGAGATATTGTTGCCGTGTTTGAGTTCTGTCTGGGAAAACACATAGATGTTTGCACACTTTTTATACAGATGTGCACTTCAAGTGTCCATCGACACGGTTGCAAGAGTCGTACAAATTAAAATGTTTGGAGCACAACATTTTTAATTGACTTTGTATCGCTAAAGTGTTGTATGTTGGACAGACACTTCTGCCTTATTTTACTTGATTTGTTTGATTTTGATGACAATTATTTTCACTTTCTATTTGCTCTGCCTTTTGCACCGACAGTGACTGTGTTTTATTCCACGAAGTGTACTGTCCTGTAGTTCTCTCGGTTGTTGACAGGCACTGAAATGAACTATCTATCCATCTATCTAAGCTTCATGAAAAAAACGAAATTGCCTTCATGTATGGCCGATTGCAAGTTGAAAAAATTATAAAAGATCCCGACACTTACTGTTAGCGCAGAACAACAGGCGGCACTACCAAACCTTGCTGAATGTGGTCAAATGACGGATGGTGCTTGTCATCCACCCGCGAGCGATGAGTTCTCGCGTGAACAAGCGGGACTGGACAGCCTCTCGTCCACGCGGGGAACCTATCGCTCACGACTTGCTGACAAGCGCCGTCCATCGTTCAATTCAACCATATTCAGCAGGAATCAGTAGTGACATCCGTCGTTCTGCTCCAACGGGAAGTTTTGGGATCTTTGATCACCTTTTTAATATAGAAATCGGCTGCGCATGAATATAATTTCGGGTTTTTTCAGGTTGTTTAGAGCTCATAGATTGAGTTATGACGTATAACCAAGGATCTCAAAAACCACTTTAGTGCCCCCTTAAGCGTGAGATGAGGACAAACCCTAAAGCTATGACAGGACTGCAAACTTTGTATACTCTGGGGGGGTCACACTTGTTTATTTTTTTGGCACAAGCGTGACTTTTCGCTGTTTTTCTTTTTCCAGGAAACCATGAGAGTCAGACCATGAACCAGATGTACGGCTTTGAAGGCGAAGTCAAGGCAAAGTATCCTTTCGGTCACCAGAATGTTTCTCCAGTTGTTGGAAGTTCAAGGCATACTCCTTTCCTTTTTTTGTGCCTCATCTTTTAACATTTCTTTCAGGGCACTGAAGCTCTGGTGCTTTCTATTTCTAGTGCTCTCTATTTCTATTGTTATCTCGATTGCACGTTGAAGGGGTTTAGTAGATTCACAATAAAACAAAACTAATTTCGCAATATAATCTGATACTTTTTTTTGCATGGGCCAGATCAATCTACCGTAAAATCCTGTGAGGGCGGCCCACCCAAAAATGAAAAGATAAATGTTGAAAAACATGAGGTGGGCTATCTTTGGAGATGGGACTGCAAAACTTTATCAGAAGTTAATGATAAACACAGGGGCACCTGCTACAAACCACGTGACACGAGAACTGATACCGCAAATCATTGACACGACAAATTCACGTTTCACAGCGCGATAAACACACGGGAATTTACTACGAACCCCTGTGTCACGGGAAAGGATACCGCAGACTGTGAACACGACAGACCCGTGTTTCACGGTGCAATAAAGACGCAAAAAACGTCTACAAAATTGCATGCCACAGGAACCAATATTACGCGCGCAGATCACGAACGAAAAGCGCAGGAACTTGCTACAAACTTGCTTGTCACTGCAAATCGTGCGGTTGATGTGATTCCTATCTAATTTGGGGTGGCCTGGGAGGGAGGGGAGGGGAGGGGGGGGGTATTTCACGGATATTTAGCCAGGAAAACTGGATGGCTGATTTTTCGGGGGAGTGCATCCTTATGGGATTTTACGGTATATAGGCTGCTGTATTTTTCATCATTCAGATGTGCTTAAAAATCTGATGACCAAAACAGGGGCATATTCGTATCCTCCTTTTCTTCAGACACTAACTGGTAAGTTTTGCAAGTTGAACTTTTGTTGAAGCTCAATGAAATACCAAGCAAAAGGCTAGTGCAGTTGTAGGTTAATTGATGTGTCAACATGACACATGAAAGAGAAAATAGTCTCCCCATAATCTATCTGGGAGTGCAATACAAACCTTAACCTTCGGCTTAGGTACACACCCAAGATGGCCGAACTCTTCACGGAGGTGTTCAACTGGGTGCCTCTGGCGCACCTCATCAACCAGAAAGTCCTGGTAAGTGCCCGTCGGGTCAGGTGCATAGCCAGGGGGGCTGTTCAGGTGTCAGAACACCCCCGGAAATTTGACTTCATTATATATATATTTTTTTTTTTTTTTTTGTGTATGTGATTGCACAAATTGGGGGTTGCCAAATGCAAAGTTGAGCTGTCTGAAAGGTGCATCAAACTACTTTCTGCGATAGTTTATTTATGGTCATCTTATAAAACTCTACTAAAACCGCACCTCATCAACCAGAAAGTCCTGGTAAGTGCCCGTCGGGTCAGGTGCATAGCCAGGGGGGCTGTTCAGGTGTCAGAACACCCCCGGAAATTTGACTCCATTATATATATATATATATATCTTTTTTTTTGGGGTATGTGATTGCACAAATTGGGGGTTGCCAAATGCAAAGTTGAGCTGTCTGAAAGGTGCATCAAACTACTTTCTGCGATAGTCTATTTATGGTCATCTTATAAAACTAAACATTACATTCATGCATGGTCAATTTCTCTACTAAAATCGGTATCAAAAGATTGACACCGGATGGCGCCATCAGACGAAGAAGGGCCGAGCCCTGCCCTTCCTCAAGCGGCGGCGCTCTCTGGTGTCTGCGATAGTTCTGAGGTAATCAATCTTTGGTACCAATTTTAATAGAGAAATTGGTTACGCATGAATGTATACTTGGAATGGAGAGCATGCTGGTAAGGGTAATACAGTGTAGACCGCATATAACGTATGTCACGGGAGTGGCAAAAATCCGCACTAGAAGCGGTACCACGCTACAACGGAAACATAAATTTTTCAGGTCAAAATACGTGCCATGGGACAACTACGTTTGTAAAACAATGTATTTTATGTTAGATGAAAAGTAAAGCTTAGTCTGAGGAAAGTCCTTATTTCACCTGACTAGTACACTTCTCTCTCAAGTGTGTCACGCATTTTCAAAGAAATCGATGATTTTGCCTGGTGCAGCCTTTTAGCGGCGTTGCGGACGACCTGGTCTTCGATAATGCCAAGGCATTTGAACGCCTCATCACTAAAGGAGTTCTGCTGACAGTGAACCTTCAGTTCCTGTTAGAATTCCAGTGTCTCTTTACCTGAAACTTTCGGTGTGCTCTCTTTGTCGTCGTCCGACTCATCTTCGGGTGGACTCGCCCCAGAACCTCGCACCGCTGCAACAATAGCTTTATCGGTGGTTGCTTCCTCACGGATTACAGTCATTGTCATGCTCATCTACATAGTTTTGAAACATGTCATTTGCAGGAACAAAGTGGTTTTCCACAAGGTCGGACCACATGTCTGCGTCGATCGCCTCCTCAATCGCATTACTGCTCCAATCAGCGTCCTCCGAATTACCAGCATCGTGCACAAACCCTGCATTGCGAAAACACTTCTGGATGGTTGTGGCCTTGCCACCACGACGCGGTGATCATGTCGATGGCGCCCCTCAATTCTACCTTGATGGGTTCCTCTCGTTGCAATTTCAAGACTACTCTTTTGCACATGCGCTTCTTGTAGAGCGCCTTGACTGTAGCAATGACGCCCTGATCGAGAGGCTCGCTTTTAGCAGTGGTGTTTGCCGGTGAGAACTTCAAACTGACTGCGCTTAATTGCGGCTGCACATTGTGAGCGCTGCTGTTGTCCAGGATAAGGACGACGTGCCGTTTTTCTGCGACCATGGCCTCATCGAAACTTTTCAACCAACTAGCAAAGAACTCTTGGGTCATCCAGGCCTTTCCATTTGCTGTGTGCACCACAGGCAGACATTCTCGCTTCTTGAAGCAATGGGGTCGTTTTGATTTCCCGATGATAAACAAGCGCCGCTTGTCTGAGCCGTCATGTTTGCACAAAACAAAACCGTGACACGTTCCTTTGAGACTTTGCGGCCGGAATTGGGTTCACCTCTCATTGTGCGAATGCGATCAGGAAGCATGTTGTAGCACCGACCAGCTTCATCGGCACTATAGATGTCTTGGTCCGTGTTTGCGGAAAGCATTGTCTCGAGATGAATGCGAAACCACGCCTGGATGCTGGCGTCGTCAGCTTGCCCACTTTTGCCCGAGATAACTTTGCATCTAATCCCGTGGCAGTCCACTGCTGGATCCATCCGTTGGGAAGGTTGAAGCCTTCGTGTTCGAATGAATGTCCAAAGGACCTAGCCTTCGCTTGTAGCATCGAGCCACTCACTGGGACGTTCTTGGCTCGCACTTCGCGAAACCACCTAAACAAGGCTTCGTTTAGGTGGTTTCGCACTTGGCTTGACCAAGCGCAAGGATGTTCGACAGTGGTCAGCATAACAGGCGAATTCTCACGTCATCACACCGAATCTACCACGCACAAAACCGAATACTGACATACATTTGTGACAGGAGAGATGTAACCCAGCGCCAGAAAAATCGCCACGAGAAGCCGGCACCAGCGCACCCTGCCGACCCCATGCTCGGTGACTCGACCAGGCTCTGCGTTGGTGCCGTTGGCGGCGTCGGAGACGATTAGCGGCGGGAAGGAAGTGCGCTCCGTGATTAGCCACTCCCTCAATACGTACGCCTATGTCACAATACAAGTACCTACGTCACAATATGGGACGCAAAAAAGTCAAGATATTTGAACTCTGAATGCTGGTGCCAGAACCCGTAAAAACGGAGTGGTGATGTCGGAACCGGAAGCGGGCATCTACACGTGTTCCAGCATACAAATTCGGAATATGTGTCGGTTTGAACCGTGCCATATGAATACATTAAAAACATAGCGGGACAACCAAAATTTAAAAATTTGTTTGAATTAACCAGAAGTATGAAATGCCCGAGTTTGAATTATCGCGAGCCTACTCTATGTTGCCGGGCACTGTCACTTTCGCACAACACCGGCAGATGATAGTAATTGGCTCTTCGGTCACCCCATAATTCTTCCTTGATTTGTCAAAGTTTCCCATGGTGTGAACACACGAACTGAAAAGGACAAAGTGGCAACCCATAAGCTTGAAGCCCCTTGTTGAAATTTTTGCCATCAAAAGTCTTCACAGACAAACTTGTTCCAAAAGATTTATTGGACCACACTCCGAAATAAACGTTTATCCAGCCATTGCATCAAATTTATGCATCGTGTACCAATGTCTCAAACATACAGGCCTATATTCTTTGCTGGGTAGTAGCGTCTTCAACTTCTCTTCTATCAGCCTCAGGAAGGCTGCCATTAGTTTAACCAGGGATGCCATACACTGAGGTGATAGTGATCAAAGTTGCCAGACTGAATTTCGAAACGGGTCTGTTTCGTGGGAACTTTGTGTTGCATCTTTTTTGCAACATTTTTTTAATAGAACCCTGGTCCCAGACTCGCTCTGTATAAAAGCAGCAATTGTTGGTTTACATTAACTGTATTGTGCTTTGCACCTGTGCCTTATGGCTGTTGTGTTTTGATTAGCAGGATTGATAAACTTTTTTTTTTTTGTTCTGGGCAGGTGATGCACGGTGGCCTCTTTTCCGACGACAATGTGACGCTGGACGACATTCGGAAAACGGATCGCAACCGCCAGCCACCGGAGGAAGGTCAGTCTGTCAATGCTGTTCTCCATTTTTTTATTTTTTTTTATTAGAGATACAGTATAACTCTGTTACAACACATCTGGTTACAGCAGGCATTCGGTTATGACTACCATAAAATCCTGTAAGGGCGCCCACCCAAAATGCTGATAAATGGTGAAAAACATGAGTTGGGCTATTTTTGGGGATGAGACAGCAAAACTTTATCAAAAGTTAATGATAAACACAAAGGCAGGCACCTGCTGCAAACCACACGACGCGGGATCGGACATTGCGGATCGTTGGGACACATGAAATTTGAGTTTCACAGTGTGATCAACATGCGGAAATTCACTACAAACTCCTGTGTCACGTAAAAGAACACTGGAAAAGGCAGATGCAGCGGATTCATGTTTTATGGTGCGATAAACACGCTGTAACCTATCAGCTTGCGCGTAACCTCACGGGTTTCAGCTTACAAGCTTACGTGCTATGGGAACCGATATCGCGCACACAGAATACACACAAAAAAATGTGGGAACTCTCACGCAGTCAAATGTTATGGGAACAGATATTGTGCGCAGGAGGCGGAATAAAAATGCAAGAACCCGCTCTGAACTCGCTTGTCACACATACTGGTACCACAGATCGCGCGGTTTATGGGATTCTGGTCAGACATTGCGTGACGTCTGACGAGAATCGGGGGTGGGCGGTGTTTCAGAATTTTTATGTTATGGGCATTTAGCCAGAAAAACGGGATAAACGATCTCTCGGGGGAGGAAGCCCTTACGGGATTTATGGTATACAGTGTAGACCGCACATAACGTATGTCGCGGGAGTCGCGAAAATCTGCACTATAAGCGGTGCCGCGCTATAACCGAAACATAAATTTTTCAGTCCAAATTGCATGCCATCAGACAACTTACCTTTGTAAAAGAATTTATTTCTATGTTGGATGAAAAATAAAGCTTAGTTTGAGGAAAGTCTTTATTTCACCAGACTAGTACAGTTCTCTCTCAAGTGTGTCACGCATTTTGAAAGAAATGAGCGACTTTTGCCTGGCGCAGCCTTTTATTGGCGTCGCGGGTTGCGGACGGACGTTGCGAGCGTTCAGGATTGCTAACCCTAATCACCTTTCTCTGGCGATGAAAACGCGTGAAAATTCGCATCCTTTATATGGTACGCGCCAGTAATACCTTCAACTTGAGCACAGGCATGAAATGCTCCAAATTAGAAATCTGGGCGATGTTCGGAAACACAAATGCTTAGAAAGCACCACTGTAGTCGAAGTAAACGAACACGACGACACGGGTGTTTCTGCCGTCTTGAGAGTGCCGCCACAACATCGCCGCACGAATAGGTGGATCTTCCCTTCCAGTATGTGCTGGGTTATCATAGTGACACACAACGAAAATTCACAGTCAAGGATAGCGCTTTTACGCGGAACGATGAGCTCCTACCACGCTGTCTACGTCGACGATCAAAATTGACGCCATGTTTGCAGATACAAGCAGCCGGCCCCCCGGCCCACGACCGGCATGCAACGCGCGCGAACACTTCTCCTCGACCTGCGATTGGTCTGTCGTTGCGGTTGTTTCCAACATTTCTAACTCAGCAAAGGGACGCACGCACGTGAACGACACGTGTGTGCGTCCCTCCGTCGCTATGGCAACTGAAGCCTCTCCATAGACCGTTCCATTAGGGTCATAGCAGAGAGGGTAAAAGAGAAACAAAAATGCACTCCCCCTCTCACCCCACATGTCGTCCGCTCCGCCGAGTGGGCTGTAGCTAGCGTCCGGCTGGCGTGCAAACTCTGTTTAAAATCGAGTCATTTTAAAACTTTCAAGTGCAGATGTGCAGATTTTAATATGCCAGTTGTCGTGTAATATTATGGTAGATAAAAAAGACTCACAGGGTCCAATTGCACTGTTACCTACCTGCGTGCAAATAAAAAACAAAATAGGGAAAACTGTGTCAGATTGGCCGGTCTCTTTGGCGAAAAGTAAATCCGGTTGCTGTACCTTTTTTACTATACAAAGTTCGTACCGGTATAGGCTTTTTTGCGACCATCAGTGGAAGTCTGAAATAATCAATAAAACATGCTCTCCTGCCGCAATACACGCAGTAGTTGAGGGTAGTACTGCCGGCTGACTCAACTGCTATTTAATGGCGAATTCCACTGGGCGTTTTGGAGCGCGCCGGGATCAGTTGACCAAATCCGGAATGGAGCATACGATCCGAACGGGGTCGCGCCGCCTACGGATCCCCAGTGGAACATGACCACTGCTCCGGGATCGGCGGATGCCTTCCCGTCATTCAACTGCGCGGGAATCCCCTTTCTGCGGCCGCCGCGGTCGTTTCGAAGACGTTTTCGCAATCGCGGCGCTAATGCGTGTTCGGCGCACGAGCGGCAGGAATGGCTCAGGAGCTTCTAGCAAAAATTGCCGGAATGCTCGTAACGTGGCAAATACCTTCTCTTTTCCTTCCTGGAAAACGAACCGGCTGTCGAGCCAAGGGGTAAGCAAGCAGCCACTACGGATTCTGATGTCGAGACAATCTAGGAGCCCAGTCAGCGACGTGCTTCTTCTTCTTTTAAGGCGAAATGGGCGAGATCAGGCGAGATGCCCCACGAGAAAGGAAGTCACATGAGTGCGCCGAGGGCTGGCCCGGCTGGCTTCCGGTTGAATCCGCCGAAATCGTGGGAGCGACTTTTCTCGGATCCAGATCGATATCTGGAGCGAGAGCTAATCCAAAATGACCAGTGAAACACGTCGGTCTCGATCCCGATCGCCCAGTGAAATAGGCTCACTCCAGAAAAGTCGATCTTGGCGCGCTCCAAAACGACCAGTGGAATTCGCCATCAGACACAGGCGGTAACCACTCACTGCAGATGCTATGAGGGAAAATGGTATTCGATGTTTTCCGTGAAAATGTTATAACTTTGGTTTTCAATCGGTTAAGACAAAGATCATTAACCGAGCACCAGTTGTTAAAGGAACTTCCGTCCTCTTGAACTCTAACGCAATCATAAATGCTAACTATTTGTTTGTAGAGTTTTATGTCATCTGCATACTGCAGAAATTAAGTCTAAAAAAACGGAGGAAACGTCGTTTTAAAAAAAATGAGAACAGGAGGTGACCTAACACACATACTTTAGGAAAGCCAGAGGAAGCCCTGTAGAATCAAGAGGCTATATTATTAACCCGGACGTATGCGATTCTATTTGTCAGATAATTTTAATCCAGTCAAGAACTGAGCCACACACTCCATAGACGGAAAGCTTTGCTTTGAGAATAGTGTGCTTAACAACGTAGAAGGCCTTGTTCAAGTCAAAGTAGATAACATCCATCTGACCTTTATTACAAACGACCTAAAAAGCGAGGGACATAAAGGTTGCGAGGTTTGTAGCAGTTGACCTGCCAGACCTAAAGCCGTGTTGGTTAGGGACGGCTATGTTACGAAGCTTAAAATGTCAGAACTTGTGTATGATCATATCAAAGAGCTTGAAAAAACGAAAGAAGAAGAGAGATAGGCCAGTAGTTAAGGACATCAGCCCTCTTTCCTGTTTCTATAATTGGAAACACAACGACTATTTTACACATTTCTGTAAATATCCCTGTCTTGAAGGAGTTATTAAGTATAGCGCACAATATGGGCGTGAATATTTCATGATAAAATGTAAGTATTGCTGAAGGAATTATGTCGTTCCCCGCAGATAATGTGGCTCTCATTCTTTCAATACATTACCCAACACTTTCTTCATCGACATGAATGCTACTGAGTAGGTCGCCGAACCCAGCTAAGGGCCGGTTGCACCAACGCCGCTTATCTTAACCCAAAGCGGCACTTTCCTAAGCCGGCTTAGCGCCCTAAACCGAGCTTATGGCGAATTCCACTGGGCGTTTTGGAGCGCGCCGGGATCAGTTGACCAGATCCGGATTGGAGCACAAGATCCAAACGGGGTCGCGCCGCCCACGGATCCTCAGTGGAACATGACCACTGCTCCGGGATCGGCGGATGCCTTCCCGTCATTCAACTGCCCGGGAATCCCCTTTTCGCGGCCTTCGCGGTCGTTTCAAAGACGTTTTCGCTACGCAGCGCTAACACGTGTTCGATGCACGAGTGGCAGGAATGGCTCAGGCGCTTCTAGCAACGATTGCCGGAATGCCCGTAGCGCGGCAAATACCTTCTCTTCTCCTTCCTGGAAAACGAACCGGCTGTCGAGCCAATGGGTAAGCAAGCGGCCATTACGAATTCTTCTGATGTCGAGACAATCTAGGAGCCCAGCCCGCGACGTGCTTCTTCTTCTTCTGAGGCGAGATGGGCGAAATCACAGTAGGCGAAATCAGGCGAGATGCCCCACGAGAAAGGAAGTCACGTGTGTGCGCCGAGGGCTCCGAAATCGTTGGAGCGACTTTTCTCGTGGCGAATTCCACGGGTCGTTTTGGAGCGCGCCGGGATCGAGACGAACTTGTTCCACTGGTCGTTTTGGATTAGCTCCCGCTCCAGATCTCGATCTGGATCCGAGAAAAGCCGCTCCCCCGATTTTGGCGGATTCAACCGGAAGCCAGCAGGGTCAGCCCTCGGCGCACACACGTGACTTCCTTTCTCGCGGGCATCTCGCCTGATCTCGCCTCAGAAGAAATGGTAATGGCCGCTTGCTTACCCCTTGGCTCGACAGCCGGTTCGTTTTCCAGGACGGAGAAGAGAAGAGAAGGTTTTGCCGCGCTACGGGCATTCCTGCAATCTTTGCTAGACGCTCCTGAGCCATTCCTGCCACTCGTGCGTCGAACACGTGTTAGCGCCGCAATCTCGAAAACGTTGATGCTTGGAACTTGGAACCAGCCGCTACCAGACACCTGATTTGTTTCAAAAATACCCAGGACGTTTTAGGGGAATGAATCGATCACATAGCAGGCGGTAGACAAGTAGACAGCGTTGAAAAATATTTATTCCACCGATTGTTATGAAGGCCGATGGTGTCGGTGTCGCAGTTTTGAAGCACTGTCAGTTCAGCTTAACCCCAC